TCTTTATCAGTTTTTATACTATTGCCATAAATGAGAAAATTCCATTTGGAAAATTAATCATTAAATCCCACAAATTCAAAATTTCAAAAAGGCTGCTTCTGTTGAAATATGAAATTTCAATGTCAAATGTGCTGATAGAATGAAACTCCAACTGAATCAGGAAAAAGATTAAACATTGATTAAAAAATAAGCTGATATAGATATGATACAATATCAAAGGTTAGTGAAAAAATAAATCCACTTATCTAACACTTGTCCCGACATCACATTCTCATTACGTCTAGTTAATCAATTCATGCAAAAACCTATGGAGTCACACCTTCAAACCACCTATAGAATCCTCAGATATCTCAAATGAAGCCTAAGAAAATGAATTTTATAAAAAAAAAACAAGATACCCTATAAGTTGATAAATACATAGATGCATACTAGCCTTTTACCTCTTACTCTATTCTATAAATACCATGGTCGTGTTGTGTATTAGATGGTTATGCAATAAAATGTTATAGTGCCTCTTGAGTTTTCTACTCTTCTTACTTGTTTATCACCCCAAGCAAAAGGCTAATTCATAATAAGAGACAACAGCCATTAGAGAAGGAATTCTAAACTAAGAAAGGAGATTTGCCGCAATACTGAATTGTTTGTAAAGGTAGACTTCAACTTAACCCCACTCCACCCACAGTTTCCTAAAATCCATCAAAAATTAGGCTACTCATAATTTTGAAATCTTCTGCCCTTTGAATAGATATTTATGATGGTTAAGTTAAAACAACTAAAAATTAGAACATCTCACAGTTACTATGTTTTTATTTCTCATATTTATGATCAAAGGAGAAAAAGGGAGGAGTAAATGCAACTTGAATTTATTTCAAGATTATATTAATTTTCGAAAAAAAAATCTGAGCGGTATAACTGGAAAAAAGTGAAGTTTACATGTTAATTTTGTATTTACATAGCAATTGTGTGATGTGTGTGTACATGAACTTTTAATTCATAATAAACGAAAGACCATTATAATCATAATTTTCTTTATGGTATTAGAATTTGAATCAAATGGGATATAGCTGAAGAAGCAAATATTCAACCACCCTTACACTATGTTAAAGGAGCATTTAAATCAAGTTTTCGATCAGAGAGAAACAACATGTCTAAAATGAGAAAGTTCAGCGCATAATTTTCTATATAAGGACCATGAAAGAGATGTTGCTAGAAAAAATATATATATAAGGCAGATGAAAATTAAAGATAATGTGGATAAGAGTATCAGAGAAAGAACTATACAATACATTCTTAGGGGGTTTTATCAAGTAGGAATTCCTTTCGATGCAGTGAAATTGGAGAGTTTTGATCATATAATTGAAGCAACTAACAATACCATAATTACAATAACCATAAATAGCAATGAATTTCAGCACATTGATACCATAATTACCCCAAATCACAACAATGGAAGAAAATATTATTAAGCAACAAGCAACTAGGATTACAATCAACACTCGAACAGAAATGAAAATACAACAAAACATAAGTATCCGGCTATGGCCAAAGCTGGGTGGCTAGCAACTGTACACAAGAAGAAGAGTGACTTGGGCGGCTAGTGGATGAAGACAGATGAAAGAAGGGAGCCGGTTCTTTGGCAGCGAGAGATAAGGATGCAAATAGATGGTATGGGTGTCGGTGGCTAGATGTAGGGCTGAGAACAAAAAGGAAGAAGGATGGCAGAAGGTTGACAATTGGAAGAAGCAAGGGCGGGCGTCGGCTGTAGCTGGATTTCCATAAAAAATCTAAAAGAATCATGGGCGAGAGATGTCGTGAAGCATACATGCGGTGCGGGTAATGCACTCGATCGAAGATCTAGGTACGCGAGCGAGGTTCGATCCGATCTGCAGAGGAACCATAGAGAGGAGCGTCGATTCGATCTACAGAGGAGCTTCGATCCGATCTGCGGGCGCGAGCGAACAGTATAGGAGTGTCGATCGACAGCAACGAGAGCGTTACGGCAGCGAGAGGGTTACGGCAGCAGCGAGAGCGTCGATCGACGATAGCGAAGCGAGTAGGGAACGGGGACGATCGTCGTTCGGAGATCTAGGGCTTCCGGGGAGATCGAGGGCTGCGGGGTAATAATCCCACCCTGAACGCCGAACGCGGGGAACTGGAAGCGTCGAAGGAGCGAACGAAAGTAAATAGGATTTTAACGCTGCGTTCACTGATCGCAGGACCGAACGCCCGAAAAAACGCCAACACGGCGTTACGAAAACGTCGGACGCGGAGAAGAAGCTGCGCCAAACGGGCCCTTAGTGTTGCACAAAAATCTAGCACACACACAAAAAATTAAAGGGACAGATAGAGACACCAAAGGTCTTTTACATGAAAAAAAAACTCAAAAAGGAAAAAAACACGATGCCTAACCTATTTAGAATAATCTGCAATAAATTTGTGAGTACATGCATAAGTTCTTGTTTCACATACGAGAAATGAATACACAGTTTTTTGAGGTACAATGTTCGTTGCACAACGATCATGAGTAATTGTAGTTAGGAGCAGTTACTAGATCTTCAGTACACCATTTTTTGGATGTGTCGCTGCACAGTGTTCTTGACAATGTGTTGCTCTATCAGGTGTTTTGTTGTCCAACAACATAAGTCAAGATTTTGCAACGTACAATTTGATTCAACAACGGGTTTCATTGTAACGAGTAATGAGTGGTCAATGGTGGTCGACAACGGTTGGCGAGTGGTGATCAATGGTGGTTGGGGCTGCAAGAGCTAGTGGCATTCGTTGGACCTTCGACGTAAAACACTGAACCTCAGTACCTTCTCTTCCAAGCTACGTGCTTCCTTTGATTTAAGGTATTTAGGGGTAGGGTTTTATTTATAGATCCTGTGAAAGGTCTCCTACAAATAAGAGAAGAAAGTGGATCATTCCATCAAACGAACCGAAGAGATTCCCTTGATAGGACCGTGCTTGTGGATATTTTAAAGCCTTGACAATATCAGAATTAAGTGATTTTGGAACTAATAAACTCTTCTTGTCGAGACGCTAGATTTGAATATAGGCTTGTCATATTTGAAATTCGTTTAACCTTCTAATCAGACGCTAGAAGCATTAAAAAATGGCTTAATGGCTTGATATAAGCTTGATTTGACTCAGACTAGACCAATTTTGGTGTCATTGTGTTCGTGTTGTCGAGCTGCTCATCTTTACTTTAAGCTTATTGAAATCAAAGATCTAAATAATTTTTAAATGAGATTTGATTGTTTCTCACCAAAAAAATATTCTAAGATCCGTGCTAATTACTTCGAAATTTGTGCAAAATAATAAATTTTATTGATGATGCATCAATTTGTTACATGACTCGAGCTTTCATGTTATTGCTTTAAATTTAATTCTTGATTTGAACAGAAAGTAATGAAAGTTAACTAGTCATGGTAGTATTTCATAGTGCCTGCAAGATAAAACGTACATATATTTATTTTCAATTCTACTTTAGCTGACATTCCGCTCATATTTTACATGCAGCCAGTGCAAATTTAGAGAATTTATGAGGTGAATTTGTAATTTTTTTTTTTTGTTAACTTCAATTATGATATCTCAGTCTACTACTCAAATCATTTTCCCAGATTTAACCACTTGCTTGAATGATGAATTCATATTCATATGTTATTTATTATTTATAGTTTATTAAACTCAATAATCTTAACTAATTATTGATTACATATCCTATTAGTCAAAATCAAACATCAATCCATAGAAGCATGACTGCATTGAGCCTAAAATGAATCCATCTCAAACAAAAGACTTCAAAACATAAGATAATAAGAGATTGAGCTTACAAGCCAAAGCTCAAACTCCACTTATTTGCACCCCTTTTGTGGTTTTTTTTTGCTTTTATCAAACATGCTTGTGTTGGAAAAAACAATAAAACATGTAAGCATACTAATATAATTAAATGAATATTATAGACTATTTTAAAAATTTAAGCCTTCTGAAAAGAACTAAGATAAAACCCCGACCTATATTTTTTATGTTTTTCATATTTCATCAAAGCAGATTATATTTTTAGGGCAATTACAAATTGGGCACCCGAAACATTGTTATTTACAAAATCAAAGACTCTTTCATCCATTTTTCAAATTCTCACTCAAATATCAAAATTCATGATAAAACCCTAACCCATAATTTTCATTTTTGTCAAATTCTCAATGTTTGAACGTGGCACACATAAATACATCGGTTCATTAGTTCAAAAAACTCACATGGTTGGTTCATAAATAACAATATTTCAAGGTGCTTTGTATGTAAATTTTCCTAAATTATTTTTATAGGTACCAATCAAAACTGCCATCTCCTAAATTATTTTTATAGGTACCAATCAAAACTGCCATCCCTACATCGAGATATATGGTGCTTGAATCAATAATATATTTTTTTTTTGGATAAAATGTCAAAATAGTCCCCTGCTTATTTACATGAGGTCATTTTTGTCCGAGAGTTTAATAAAATGTCAAATTAATCTTCACTCTTTTACTATCACCTAAAAGAAGACTATTTCAACCTCACCAAACTAAACTTGAGATTAAATCAACATTTTTATAAACTCTGTGACTAAAATGTACGCCCCAAAGAATCGGAGAACCATTCTAACACTTCCTCAAAAAAAAAAAAAATTTCTTTCTTTTGAATAAATCAATACTCATCAGAATATATTTAATTTATCCCCTAATTCTCACCAATTCAATCTCCTAAGCATGAGAAATGCATTTCCTAGTCCTGAAACTCTTCCATAAATGATTCATGGAAAGCCTTGAACCTGGAGATGATGACAGGGATCTTCTCCTCCTGAGCAAGGATTGTGCATCTTATGTGCCAAGTTCCATGAACCATTCAGCCAGATCAAGCAAAAATTAAAAAATTAAAAAGACAGGCATGGATAAGAAACAGGAACTACAGGTCTCAAGCCGATCGAATAAGTACAAGAAAGCTCACCTGGCCAAAACAAGAGCCATGATCAACGACAATTCCAGTGGCGTCGAGAAGGCGGCAAGCGTAGAATGCATCGGGTGCTAAGCTCACCGACATTGCTGCCTCAATCGCCTTCTTTGGCAGGCGAATGCGCGGGAAGAGAGACATGGCTCCCTCTGCCTTGTTGCATGTCATACCTTCTAGACTATTGAAGGCATCTTCTAATGCCTGCATTGAATGTCAAGAGACAAGCTCTTCATCAAACTACATAAGAAAAAAAAAATTAGAAGATTTACATACAAAACACTTAATTACTTAATTCCTATGTAGTTACATATCTAACACCCAAACTTCAATTTTTACATTATATTCTACGTTACCTATGCTTGAAATGGTGTATTTCTCTTCTTAAAAGTTAAAATAATGATATTTTTTATGTGATATGAAAGTTTGTGGTATAAATGTAAAAGGTAAAGTTTAGGTGCTAGATATGTAAATACATAGGAATTGGGTGGTTTGTATGTAAATGACCACAAAAAAATTTTAGTCCAGAGAAATGTACTGGTTAAAGGACCAAGTTTGTCAATCAGTCGGATTTTGCTCTTTTTAGTACATTGTATATGATTAGATGTAAGACAATCATATTGGCTAGATTACTTGAATTTTTCATTCAACATAAAAATCCCTCAATTTCCCTATTTATTAACAATTTATCTCACTAATTTAACCCTTATTCAAATATATGAATCATCCTTATGTAGGTAGATTTCTCCAATGCCTCGCTCCAATCCGCATCAGCATGCAAAACTTGCTATTTTAATTAGGGTCATGAATTATAACTCCTAAGTTTCATTGTTTTAACATGACTCTTATGGTTAATTAAACAAGGTGCTTTAGGAGTAAACTTCCATTTTTCCATTCATACATGTCAATATTAATTTTACATGCATGTCTCACCGTACATCTTCAATCATTTATAGCCAACATAACCTCATTGTACTTAATCCTACTATAAAATAATCATATTTCAATCTATCCGTCCTAATTTTATCACATATAAATCATCAAGTTTTCACTCATCCACACTCAATTTAACTACCAAGAACATTTTTATAGCGCATGCATCAAAACATGTGATCGTAGATTTGCATAGTTTATGAAATAAAAAATCTAATAAACTCTAACCTTAGCGCGGCGCGCCAATGATGACAAAATCCCATCTCACTCTACAAAGAACGATTCATATGATTTATCTCCGGACTGCAAAATTAAAGGAATTGGTTCCGATCAACATAACCGTACATAAATTCAACTTAATGAAACATCTCCTTGAAGAAATTTGAACAATCACCTTAGGTGGATTCATGATAAGGCTAGCAAGAATCTGGCCTGAGATGTTTGGACAGCAGTAATTTACAATTGCCAACTTGCGACATTGTGCTATTGCGTCAGCACTAAAGCCGGTAATCTCCATAAAGCCGCCTCTTTTTCCACATTCTCCATAGAACCCTGGGAAAGAAAAATATTTGTCATCAATGAGGTACTCGAGCTGAATAAACAATTCATAGTTACGGCTACTTAATTTGTATAACCTCAAATACAGGCAGTACACTATAGTGCCCCGACACAACATGACACAGAAACGTGATACTTCTATTATTGAAAATATAAGACACAAATACACGAAATATGTCATTATAATATAAAAAAGTGTTTAAATACATGTCACTCAATTCTTATGCATTTATATATCTAATAACCAAACTTTATTTTTTACATTTATCCCACCCAAATATTTCCTATCACATCTAAATACCATCATTTTAACGTGTAAAAAGTAAAATAATATTTTCATGCATGAGTAAAGTGACATATATATAAAATTAGAAAATTTAAGAGTCAGAAATGTAGCTACATGAGAATTGAGTGATACGTATGTAAATCTTCATAATATAAATTATAAATAATAGATAAAGATTAAATAAACAGGGCATTAAGAATAAAGAAGAGACAAAAAAATAAATAACATTAAATTTCAAAAACTAAGTGATCTATAAATATTGTTTAATTTATGATATAAAAAATAAGCTCTATCTAACTTGTGTCACATCAAGATAAGTATAACTTCTAAATTAAGAAAAACATAATGATTTGTTCAAAATTTTAATCTTAAAATAAATACGTTAAAAAATCTTTAAAAAAAAATAATTCATTAATTTAGGATAGATGTATCACTCTTTTAAATATTATTTAAATTAGACACTACTGTGTGTTTGTAATATGTCGGAGGTCTGTCTGTGTACGATACATGTTCGACACGATACTTCTTCTTAAATAGGAGTGTCCATGCATCATATGCAGCAAAAGAAAATGCACTTTATCATCTGAAAGACAGGCATAATAATATACCCTTCAAAACAGAATGAAAAGATACTAAAGAAAGATCTTTGCCGCAATATCCCATTGATCTAGAAATCTTCTTGAACGAATTGAATTTCTTATCTTCAGCATAAATATTATCTTGGTACACCTGTGAGCAAGTGCACCATCTTCATTTAATTAACTACTAACCGCAAAGATTAAATATAAGAAAATATCAACAAAAATAATCAAACTAATCCAAATGTTCTAAATCTCATGCCTTCTTTTTCATAGTATATGTGTGGAAAAGTAATAACAAATGAAAAAAAAAAAAAATGAAGTAAATATAGATACCCGTACCTCATCAGCTAGAATAACCAGAGATTTTTCCTTGCAGAACTCTACTATCCGTCTTTGGTTCTCCTCTGTGAGCACCTAAACAATAGGGACAATGTCATACGGGAGACAGCATCTTGACTATGGGGGCACATGGTAACTTTTAAATTGTTTGTAATTTTTTAGATAAAATTATCTCATGAGATATTCTACCGGTTAAATTAATGACATTAGTTGATATTATGATTCATTGAAAGATAAATATCTTATGTACTCAAGAAACTAAATGGGTTGGAGAAAATGCAAAAGAGATTGATAGTTTAGATTTTAAACTTTAATATTCGGGTAAGAGTCACACTAAAAATAGTGTAGATGTAATTATAGATAAGAGTTTGAAAGAAAATGTTATAAAAATTAATAGAATTGGAGATAGATATATAGCCCTTAAGATTATTGTTGATACTAAGATTTTTAATATTATAAGTGCTCATGCTTATCAAGTAGGTTTAGATATAAGTTCTAAAGAAAAATTCTGGAATGGACTAGCACAATTAAAACAAATGATACCTCTTGAAGAAAAAAAATTTATTAGAGGAGATTTTGATGGACTTGTCGGTAAAGTGGTAGAAGATTTTAGAAATATTCATGGTGGCCATGATTTTGGAGAGATTAATGAAGAAAGGTAGAGTCATATTTTGTTTTAGCGTATGACTTTGTTATTGCTAATACTTTATTCAAGAAAAAGGATGAGCATAATATTACTTATAAGAATGGATATAATAAAATACAAATTGATTATTTTCTTATTAGAAGAAGAGATCGTCAAGAATATAAATATTTTAAAGTCATTCCAATTAAGAATTTAAGTACTCAACATCGATCATTAGTTCTGGATTTTAAGATGAAAAGTTGTAAAATAAAAAATACTAGAAATCATTGTCATAGAATTAGATGGAAGCACTTATAAGACACAAATAAAATTATTTTTATGAGTAAACTTCAAGATTTCAAGATTTGGGATGTTCATCAAGAAGTAAATCTAATATAGGATAAAGTAACAAACACGATTAAACAAGTGACAAAAGATGTAAAGAATCAAAAGAAAAAGTTTTTATAAATAAAAATAATTGATAGTGGAATAATAATGTGCAAGAAAAAAAAAAATAGAAGATGTTATAAAAATTGGTTAAAAGGTAAAAGCTTAGATAACTGAGAAAAATATAGAATAACCAGTAGGGAGTCTGAGAGAACAATCCGTGACATTCAAAATTCTGCTTTTAATAATTTTTATAATATATTAGATGCTAAAGTGGGTGAAAAATATATGTATAAATTAGTCAAATAAAGAAAAGAGAAAAGTAAAGATTTAACCAATAAAAGTGTATTAAAAATGAAAATAAAAAAGTATTTTTCTTAGAAAAAGATATTCAACATAGGTAGGTGAGTTATTTTGATAAAGGTTTCAATGAAATTTATGAAAATACGATCGACCTTAGTAATCTTAATATCGTTAATAATAATAATAATAAAATGTTTCATTTTGACAGTCATATTAGTAAAAAAAAAGTTGAGGAGACTTTAAAGAAAATCAAGGGTGGAAAGTCTGTAAAACCTGATGACATCCCAATTGAAGTTAGGAAATATTTAGGAGATTTTGGAATTTCTTGGTTTACTGAACTCTTTAATATTATTTAAAAAACTAAAAAGATGTCTGAGGAGTGAAGGAAAAGTATTATGATCTTTATTATTAAGAATAAAGAGGATGTACAAGAGTGTGCAAATTATAGAGGAATTAAGTTGATGTATCAAACTTTAAAATTATGGGAGAAGACAATTTAACAAAGGTTAAGACGCATTACAAAGATTATAATCAGTTTGGATTTATGTCGGGCAGGTCTGATATGAAAGCTATACATTTATTGAGAGGTTTGATGGAGAAGCACAAAGAGAATAACAAGGATCTACATATGATTTTTATTAATTTAAAAAAAACGTACGATAAGGCTCCAAGAGATATCATTTGCAGAGTTCTAGAGAATAAAGGTGTTGATAGGACTTCCATTCAAGACATTAACGATATGTATGCTAGAGTTGTTACTTGTGAACAGAAAGAGAATCGATCAAATATTTTCTTATTTCAGTTGGATTACATCAGGGATCGGCTCTAAGCCCATATCTTTTTGCTTTAGTTTTGGATACTCTTACTGGACATTTACAGGAGCATGTATCATGGTGTATGTTTTTCGCTGATGATATCCTTCTTGTGGATAATACTAGAGAAAGAGCTCAGGAAAAACTTGAATTATGGAGGTCTACATTAGAGTCTAAAGGCCTTCGTTTGAGTAGAATTGAAACTGAATACAAGGAATATAATTTTAGTAGTAGTAGCTCTAGTGATAGAGTTGTAACTATAGGTGATCAAATTATTAAAAGGTATGAACGTTTTAGAAATCTCGGGTCTATTGTTCAAAGTGATGGTGATATAGATGAGGATGTTATCAGTCGAATTCAAGTTGGTTGTTTGAAGTGGAGGAATGTTTCGGGCCTAGTGTGTGATAGAAAAGTACCGCTTAGACTGAAAGGAAAAATTTATAAGATGGTGGTAAGACCTGCAATGCTCTATGGCGCAAAATGTTGGCCTTTAAAAGAGAAGCATAAAATTAAGTTAAGTGTTGCCGAGATGAGAATGCTTAGGTGGATGATTAGGTTTTACACTTAGAGACAAAATGTGAAATGAATATATCCGTAAGAGGGTTGGCGTAGCTCCAGTGGCGAACAAAATTAAAGAGAGTCGTCTTAGATGGCTTAATCACATTAAACGTCTACCATCTAATGATGCAGTTAGCAGAGTAGATGGTTCAAACTTGGCTTTTATTAAGAAAGGAAGAAATAGACTTAGTAAAACTTGGACATATTGTATAAAAAATGATCTTAATTTATTAGAATTAAATAAAAATGTGACACTCAATTGGACACAATGGAGAAAAAATATTTATATAACTGACCCCACTTAGTAGAATAAAGGCTTGTTGTTATTGTTGTTGTTGACTTATTAGATTACCTAAACCAATCTAAAGAAATTTTTTTCTCAAACTTTTCACATTTTGGAGTTGATAATTAATTCATATACAATCATGAAAACATTAGGAGAATGTGTTCATAACTTTTAGATATTTTAAAATATAAGAACAATATTTTTGGAAATAATTAAGTATTTAATAGAACAATAAATTAATAAAACAATATCCATTATGACTTAACTTTTGGAAGATCTAAATGTTGGAACAAGAAATATTTAATTATATAGATTATAAGAGACTAAAATATATTAGATGAAAAAAGCAAAAGCATGGCGTTACATAATGCATGGCTTTAAATTTTCTTTAGTGATTAATCTTTACATTCTTGTTTATCTTATAAAGAACAAGATTTTTAAGCAATAAGATCATTAAAATAAAATAAACTACTAGATAAATAGAAAACTGTCAACAAAATAAGAAAACCAATCAATGTCTGTGCAAAAAAAAAAGTATTAGGACAATGAAAGAGAGTTGATGGAGACCATCCATCTAAATCTTATAACCTCAACACTCCATCGCTACTACAAATGAAGCCAAGCTTCTCAACCTTTAGGTGCTTCACTTCTAAGTTTTATTTGATCAAATGGCTATTAAATGATATAGTTTTATTTTAATTGGGTTATTTTAGGATTTTTAGAAATTTTCTAGAATGAACTTAAATTTGAGTATTGTTTTAAATTTAACTTGAATTGAATATGAAGCACAGCTTGTAATAAGAGTGTAAGTGAGTCAAGCCAACTTGTGAGCCGGCTCAAGCTTGGCTCAATAAGCGGCTCATGTACTGAGCCCGATGAGCTAACAAGTCAAGTTCAAGCTAACCCCGACTCAACTCGTTAGCTCGTTAGCGTGCTAATTTAAGAAAATAAAAATATAAAATATACTTAAAATATATTAAATTTGAAGACTTTATATTTAAAGTATTGAAAATGTTTAAAAATAATATTTTGTATTTTATATTAAATGATTTTTTATTATTTATCTCCTAATTACTCGTTCTATTTTTCATTTTATTACAACACTATCTTAGATTAATATTATTTTCTTTTTTATAATAAACAAGTCGGCTCATAAGCCGACTCGAACTCCTAGGCTTAAGCTCGAGCTTGAGCTCGAACTTGATAAAATTAATCAAGCTCAAGCTCAAGTTGGGGGTGGCTTGAGCTCGACTCAACATGTTTACACCCCTAGCTTGTAATTATTACTTCAAGGGACAACATAGGGCTATAAATAAGCCCTTAAACCCAAGATTTTTTAACATAACGAGGACTTCTAAATGATGGTACCCTCAATTGTTTATTGCATTGCTACGCCAACACCATCACTTAGCTCCCTTTCTTACTCTTTCCTCCTCTCTTTCAATCCCTTCATTCCAAATTCTTCACTTTCTCTACTAGAATCGAGAAATTCGTTGTGTGAGAGGCTATGAGATAGGAAGAAAATTTGCATTTTGTGAAATTGCGAGGGAGTTTTGCATACTCTATGAAGTATTTTAAAATGTGTATAAACAATCTTTAATAAAAGAATTTTCTAATAAAAAAGGTTAAAAATAAACAATTACCAAGAAAAATTCCAATTGTCCCCAAGAAAATAATAAAGAAAATTAAAAAGCCCCCAATAGTTATAATCATAAATTATTATTATTCTTAAAAAACCACAACACTCCCCTCTATATTTATATAATCTTCTCCCTTTAACTCTCATCGGCAAGCAGCGCCATCTTCATTACATCATCTTTTATCTCCCTTTCCTTCATCAAAAATGATTTGCTTGTTCACCCACAAACGCCTTCAAAATCAAGCAGAATAAAAATGAGAGGAAATTTTTTACCTCCTTGAAAACAAATCATTCTCATCATTTCGACGCAAATAAAAAGTTATTTCATGTAAATTTTAGGAAACTATATCTGCAAAATATCTTACAAAGAAATACACCTAAGCATTCTTATTGGTTTGATAGAATGGATTGTTATGTCATGGTGCCTTGTCTGCTACACTTGCTAGATTGGCATATTGGGAAGACTTTTGCTAGTCATCACAAGGAAGTGCTATTAAAATTAATCCAAAACTTTGGACAAAAGACATGAGAAAATCATGTCAAAATATAAATAGGACTTACAGAAAATACTTGGCAATGAATTACATAATGCTTTCAAGAATCAAATGAAAATACATACAAATGACGTAACTAATTCATCCGCCTTGTTTACAAGAAAGAGTCGTAAGCCCAAATGCTTGGGATTCCCTATTATAAGAGTCATAAGTCTCATTTTGTAATAGCTATAAACTCAATAATAATGATAATAATATTGATAATAACCACCAACAACAATACTAAAAGAGCGAGGGTGATGAGAAGGAGGAGGTCCTATTGAGGTAGGAGAGGATCTAGTTAGGGTTCAACTACTGCCCTAGGAAGAGCTGAAGAAAGGGAAGAAAGAGTATGAAGAAAAAGAGGAGGCAAAGGTGGTGGATCCAGTTTAAAAAGTGGATTTGAAAGGCAAAGCATCAATCAAAGACAAAAGGAAGAGAACGAGAAAGGCAATGACGATGAGAGCTGGAGTAGAAGTTCACCAAATGTGATAAAAAAGATGGAGAACAGAACCTAAAAGCACTAAAACCAGGAGGAAGAGAGACGGGCATTCCTATAATAGGAATACCACATGACACGAAATTGAACACCATAAGATATTGACAAAAGGTGTGCGCTCAACAAGAGAAGCTCACAAAGCAGCACGCCAAATAGTAGCAAAAGGAGGCGATCGCCTAAGCGCTAACGCAAAAGCCGGACATGCAATCGAGAGAAAGCAGCACATTCAAATGCAAGTTAATGGAAGGCCACGCTGAGCTAAATAAATGTGGCCAATTCATGCGGGGCCGGGCAATGAGCCCTAACATGGAGGCTAAACGCGCACATGAAGGTGAGTCACAAGAGAGCCGCATACAACAGCAATGGAGCGGGTAAAGCAGACACAATATGCCCTAAAAACTATCAATTTCTTTAAACAAAACCTTTAAATAAAACATTAAAATTGTCACATGCCAAAGATTTTTGGTATATTCATTAGCACAAGATGCACTTTAAGGTTAAATAACTATATGAAAGGAATACACTTGGGCCAAAATAGTTCTCAATGCATTTTTTTTAACTTCCATAGGTTACTTAAGAAAAAACGTTAATATAGGTCATATTTGAAAACTAACCTGTCCTGTGGGATTGCCCGGATTTATCACCACAAGTGCCTTTACAGTTATACCCTGGGATTGAGCATCTTCTAATTGTTTCCTTAGCTCAGGTATATCTATACTCCACCCACTCGTCTCATCAAGATAATATGGTACCTTGAACAGAAAACTGTTCCATTAATTACTTTGACCGTAATGAAAAGCAGTCATGCAGGCCACTAGAACACAATGAACAAATTATAACTAGAAGGAAATGAAAACCCGTATGACTTTATTAGTAAAAACAACGGCTGTTTATGAACATTTATTCAGAACATACCTAACGAGGCTGTGAGCAAAGCACAACCACATAAGGCAATTTAAAGTTAGGATTTTCCAAATCAACAATTTTGTTAAGCAGTGCTTTTAAGGAAAAAGAAAGAAAATCAACAATTTTGTTAGGAAGTTCTTTTAAGAAAAACGAAAAACAAAGCATTCGCAGATAAAAGTTACGAATCAACAGGCATAATTTTTTGGAGCTTAAAGATTTCTGACGACTCCAATGCAATTTTTTTTTCTTTTTAATAGCAGCAGATAACAAAAAATAATAATAACAATGAAATCTAAAATCGCAAGCAACCATCTCCAAAACAGCACATACTGCGTGTCAAGCCTATCCCATACTAGAAACACTAATAAGAGCTAATGTACAAGCCCACGACAGCACACACCACAACTTCAGCAGAGGTATCCAAAGCATGTCTAGCAAAATATATACATATATAGTAATCTACCATCGCAGAGAGATTTACTAATGGTATGTATTTGAGTAATCAAAATATATGGCACAAATTAATCGTACAAACTAACAGAGAACGTACAAGAAAACCACCCTGTAGAGCAATTGAAGCTGAATAAAGAGGACAAAGAGGAAAAGGGCACATAATGCCATCTTTCTCTGACATTATTAGTAACTGCATCATCATGCGCACCTACAGAGAAAAGAGCAAATGATGAAAGAAGATAGTATAAATATTTCCCATTTGAATTCTGAAAATCAGTAATGCAGAACGGAGAAAAAAAATGCTTAAGAGCATACAGCTGAACTTGCGCCATCTGTTAATAAAATATCATCAACATTGCATGGAAATCCATCACGGGAAGCGATTCCGGATGCAATTGCTTCACATAAACCTTCTGTTCCCTTAAATTTTGAGAAAATAACAGCATTTTCAAAGTGAAACTTCATATTAAAATCAACCGTTCAACCTCTCGCCCTACCTGACCATTACTATAAGCACCAGTAGCTCTAGCCGGGAATAAATCTAAAATCTCCCCTGCTCTCGCCATGGCATCCTCACTGAAACAACATATAAACCTAAATCAGGCATGTTAAATGTCCCAACTTAGAATTAATGTTTAATACTGTGAAAAAGATCAAACATATACAACTGTTTCAGGAAGAGCAACATCATTTGTCTCCACCAAACTCTCATCCATTGAGATAGGATCTGCTTTGACCTAACAGCCACCTCTGTGAAACTACCGAGAAAGATACTGTTACCCTTGCTAAATCACGTTTGATTAAAGAGCTCATAATGAAATACCAACTATTTCACTAAAATAAGCCTCAATGTTTAAGAGCTCTGTTTCAGTATACTAAAGTGGTCTTATCCAACATGACAAAAGTTTACTATCTGGGCTTGAAAATCATAGCTTTTTGAACCATACCTAAACAAGACATGAGTTTCATCCCTGTTCAAGATAGAAGGATGGCTGCATAAAGCAAGAACCTGCAGCAGAATGTACTCAATCAAAAATAGTAATAAGTAATAGAGATCAGAGAGGCCAAAACTAACCTCTCTAAAAAAGGTAACTGGTGGCTGACCAAGAGAATGGGGATTCCCGCTATTGCAATATAATATCTAATAGATGCAAGAAAAACTGGTTTAAACAAAAGTTTGTAAAAAATTATACACATCTTACTATATAATAAGGTAGAATGAAGAAAATATACAGACCTCATCAAAAGGAAAAAAATCTGAATTTGCATTTAAATCTTCTTGTAGATGCTGTACGGCAAAAATAGCACACATAACCTCATCAGATATGATTTTTAAAATATAAATCAAATTTGGAATATCCAAGCGATCAATCAACAAAATATTTTCACTTAGTTCAAGAAAGAAGCTGTTATAGTCAATCATAAATGGCAATTGAATATGGCATACACCCTGGATAATTCAAATATACTTCACTTAAGACATTAAATAAGGAAAAAGAACCAATTCATTACTGGAATACAAATAATAATAAGCATAAATATGCATGTGTATTGATGCGCGAACACATTTACTTGCAACAACTGAGATTAAGAAAATCATCATCATCATATCCCAGTTATTTAGGACCAGGTTTATGAATCATCATTTTCCCTCCATTTTTGCTAATTGTTGCCTCAAGCGTTAAACTTTGCTCTTCAAAATTTTAAATCACTTTGAACAACTTCTATCCATATTATCTTGGATCTATCCCTTCTTTGCCAAAATTTATTGAAGTTAACTTTATCCACTTGAATAATGGTTCAAATTTTTACCCTTGAATGTCTATATCAAAATCAATTAAGTCTAATTTCAAATACTTTATCTTTGATAACTGTCACTCCAATCAATCATCTATTATACTCATGTCTTAATTTATCGTTCCTATGGTACAAACATGGTGCAGTTGTTAAAATGCATCAAGTGTATTCTATATGTCCTGTGTTCGTGTTATGGAAACAATCTCTTTGTGCAAGCTAAGGTAAGGATGTGAAAAAAAAAACCATCCACTGTCCCTATAGCGGTAACAGCAGCATGCATTAAGTATGACACCAATTTATCATTCATATTAATGTTATCATTTATTTTAAACTCAAATTAGACAATGATAATGTCTTTTCCTACCAAATATTAAATTGATACAACATTTTAGACTAAATTATAATCTTATACAATTTACCTTTACATCTCATCCACATCATTCATCACATAATACTCACAAGGCGTTTTTTTTAATTTCAATCACTTAGTGTTAAATTTAGAAGCAAAACCATCATTGTATCTTCATTTATTTGTACAATAGATCCAATATATTTAAACTTATGATGCCAAAGCATCATTTTTTGGTTAATAACATTGATTGATAAATATTAACATTGTCACTAAAATTATATCTCACATACTCACCTTTTGTTTAAAGTCCATCTTTTTGTAAGCTCTAGAAATTTGCGCTCCAACCTCTTATGAGGAAAGTTTTGTATGCATCACATGAAATTTTTAGAATGCATACTAGAATTATATAAAAGACACTACCAATGGATTTCACCCTCATTTTACAAGGACTTTATGATATGGTTCAAAATTTTTCTTGCTAAGAAAATGCTCCAAGATTCTTGCTAATCATGTCGATATTTGTGTCACATGATAAAATTTGTTGATGGCGTGTCAATAAAAAAAAAAAAAAAATGAAGTAGTGAAAAAAATGGTGTATATTTCTCTCAATATCTTCTTCGTTACAATGGGAATAATATATACAATATCATATGCTTGGCATGTGTTGGAATTAGTCCTAAAATAGCGTCTATCTTACATAAATGGTTATTTATATTTCCATAAAAAGATGAGGTAAAATTAATAGTTTAAACAATCAACGTTAATTGCTTAATTACATCCGGATATCATGCATTATGGATATCATGCCGCTAATTGCTTAATTACATCTGGATATCATGCATATAATTGATTTCGTACTTAATTACATTTAGATATTATGCATATGATTGATTCTGCAATCCTTAATACTCTCCCTCAAGTTTGGAATGCATGTTAATAATTCCTAACTTGTTGAGTAGTATCGAAAATTGAGAAGAATTTAGTGGTTTTGTGAAAACGTTCGTTGGTTGCTCTAAAGTGGATACGTAAATCAACTTTGTCATTCCTTCTTGAACCTTCTCTCGTATGAGATGACAATCAATCTCTATGTCCTTTGTTAGCTCATGATAGACCGAATTCGAGGCGATGTGAAGTGTTGTTCGGTTATCATAAAATAAATTGACAGGATGTGAATGCATGATCCTCAAATCCTGCAAAATTGTTCTTAGCCAAATAACATCGCAGCAGGTAGTGGTCATGGACCGATATTCAGCTTCTGCACTAGAATGCGATGTTGTAGTCTGCTTCTTAGTTTTTCAAGAAATTAATGAACTCCCAAAAAAGATACAATGCCCAGTGACTGATCTTCGAGTGTCACGAAACCTGACACAATCTGCATCACAAAAAACATTTAGTTGAATTGAGCTTTCTGTTGAGAGCAAAATTCCTTGTTCTGTTGTTTGTTTTACATAATGTAGGAGACGATGGGCTGCTTCTAAGTGTGGTACTTGTGATTTGTCTATAAATTGACTTAAAACGTGAATTGCATATGTCAAGTCAGAACGTGTGATAGTCAAGTAAGCTAATCTCCCAACTAGTCTTCGGTATGATGATGGATCACTGGCATATTCTCCTTCTGATTTGCTGAGACATGAGTTTTGTTCCATAGGAAAAGAGACTGGTTTTGCACCAAGATATCCAACATCCTCGATTACTTCAAGAGCATACTTCCGCTGTGAAAATATAACACCCTTTTGGGATCGCGCAACCTCAATACCAAAGAAATATTTCAATTGTTCGAGATCCTTTAATTTGAATTGATTCCTCAAGAACACGTTGACATCTTCAATTTCTTGCAATTCGTCCACTGCAATGATGATATCATCTATATACATAAGAAGGACAATTAATCTACCATTATGTGATCGGACAAACAAGAAATAGTTTTCCTTTGATTGCATAAAATTGGCTCGCCATATAGCAGTGGAAAGCTTAATGAACCATTGACGTGAGGCTTGTTTGAGACCATTGTCGATCGTTATTTTTTTGAAATATGAAAATAGTTTTAATACAAATATGACTTTTGAAAGTAACGTTTTTAATTTAAAAATAAATGAGACCAAACGAGTGTCACATATTAAATAGTTCAGACGGTTGAGCGCGATATCACAAGTAATACACTACCCCGAAGGATAAACATACCACTTGTCAATAGGCTCAACCACTTAAAATAAGGAGTTTGTGACATCCGTTTGGTTTGCAAAACCATTTATGTATGGTTGTCAAGTTCTCCTACCTAATATAAGAATTATATAAGGTTTATTTTACCTGGGTTTCAAGTTCCTTATAGAGGCAAACCCCTATAGTTAATTACATCTTAAATGACCAGGGGTCACTTAAGAAGACTCTCGATTAAGATCAGTAGTTTTGACTTCCAGATTTCAAAGTTTAGGTTTTCAAGGTTGGACACAGGAAAAATCAAATGGGAGTGACTTAAACAAGAACAGTTATTTTAAGAAATCCAAAGGAGCGAAGAGTAGGGAATATCACAGATCTAGGGAGAACCCCAGTGATTTTCCAACTATCCTATTGTTTAACTTTATGTCTCTGAAATGATGTTATTCAATGTTTAATCCTGCAATTTATTTTAGAATTTAGAACTTACATTTACACGATATCTAATCATGCAAATGACCTAAAAAGATAGGAGGATTTACACCGTACCGTACAGTACTCTCGGAACCCTAAAGTGTCAGGACTTAAAATTGCACAACAGGATTATGCAAAAGTCTAAATGTGGCATGTGAGGATTTATGCTGCGCTAGGCAAACCACCTCGAAATCCTATGAGTTGTTATTTAAACTAGGAAAGTGATTAGTGATGTGAATTTGTTTTGACGTTGCTCTTCTGAATGTCCTCATCATGCTGCCCACGTTATTCGCTCCAGGCTCCTCGTCGTAGCACCTTCGGGTTTGATATTAGTTTTAAGGATACTTGTAACCATTGAGTTTTCCTACACTAAGGTATAATGTATAATAGAACAATAAAGCATGCAATATAAAAGAAAAGAACAGTAGAATGTACAGTAAAGAAGAAAAAACAGTACAGTATGTTGTGAAGTAAAATGTTGTAATGTAAATTAAACCTGTATATCTGGGAGGCTTGCTGCCCTTTTAAACGAGCTAGTATACACTGTATAAATAAAAGAAACATTGCCTGAAAAACTCGAGAAAATCGACAAATGACCCACGACGGAAAACTCGGGAAAAATCGACAAATGACTTACGACGGAAAACTCAGGAAAATCGACAAATGATAATTCCAAGAAAATTATCAAAATCTCGGGAAGATCCCGGAAAAGGGACCAAGAGTTCTTTGCCCAAAAATTCCAGATAAAACATACGAAAAATCTGAAAAGGGGGACCGCAAGCACTCGAGTCAGGGCTATGCTCAAATATAATATATTTATACTCGAGGCACGTTGAAGGCTACTATCGGTCACCCGGATTCATAGAGCCCTCCACTCAACTAGAATGGTGTCTTACTAAACCTAATTTAGGAGGGTACTCCTTAGCCTAGTATCGGTATCCAACAAGTGGACAACCAAGTTGTAACACATTTAAAATTTATATTTTAGCATGCACATGGATTTCAGGCATACAAAAAGAAAGTTGTATCAATTTTATAGTGAAAATATTTTTATAAATATTGTATTTGTTCTTATCATGTCTGTTCTTATCAGCTTTGAAAAGTATAGTTGTTCACGAGTCGATCACGCTATCGGGCGTAGGACCGCCAACAACCTAAGAAGGTAAGGGTCCCTCGCTAGGCTTATGTCTTATATCGGTGAATGATACTGTCATCCTACAGTTTATCAGGTCCCAGGATTGGGTCCTGATGTCGTAGGATGGAATATCATTCTGCCCTACCAGTCACGTATCTTTGTCATCATCGCCCTAAGCCCCAAAACAACACCGACCTACTTGTGACATTGTTTGATGATTTCATATATAGCAAAAGACTACATGTGGGCTCTTATGTGTCAGACATAAGCACTGAAAACCGAACCAAGAAACAAGAAAATAAAAATAAAAATAGGGATGAGCGAGAGGAGGAACTGATCCACCCAAAAGATCGAAAAGACGAAGGGTGAATCAACC